CCCACTTCTGGCTTTAGTGATCTGTAACACACCTTTCACTATGTCCTTTGTGTGAATGTACTAGAACTGAGCTTTCAATCAAAAAGACCCTGTGGGTTTCACTTTCCCAAAGTGGGAGCTCAGATGCTGAGGGAACTACCCCCCTACCCGGTGTGAGAGGCTTGTACCCCTCTTTCAGCAGGGACATCATCTGCATATTCTTAATTCAAAACGCCAGCTCCACCTCCTCAACACAGCAGATCGGTAACAAAAGACTGAGCACAAGCGGGCTGACTAAAGTCAAAGGAGATGCGGTTCGTCTTCCCCAGACGCTGTGCTATGCACGGTGCACCTCACCCGTTCCTTCTCAGCTGGAAGACAAGCATAAGACAGTAGGATACAGGGCCAGCAATTTTTGACTAAAGGAAAGTTTCGGGAAAAGGTGTGAACAGAAGCAGAATACACCAAAACATGCCTCTTCGGCAGGAGGATTCTTTTAGGCCGATTTTTAAGAATCAGCAGACACAAGAGAAGCTCTGAAAAACTGAGTAGAAGTTACCCTTTCATAAGAGACATTTACATTTATAAGAAATCTCCTTTGGCCAGGGTGTCTCCCTCTCTGTACCAGGAACAGGATGACTAAAAGTTCTAGAAGCTTTTATTAATGGAGAAGGCAGATTCTTAAACCTGCATAACAACCTTAACCTTGTTTACTGTGCTTTCCCTATACCCTCCCAGAGCTGGCTCCCCGCTCCCAACACCTTCCTATGTCTTTAACTGGAGATGTTATTTAAGGTGATGGTCTGGGCCATTTCGAAGAGTTACTCAGTTTTCCTGGGCCTCTCCTGTGTACACTGGAGGGCTACAATGCTATTAAATTTCTGTCTGTTGTTCTGCTGTTCATCTGTCTTTTAACACACGGTGTATCTCAGCCAAGTACCTAGTAGAGCAGAGAAAAAATTCTTTTTCCTCCCCCACAAATTCATTAACTTTCTTAGGAACAGACCTCAAAGAATTATCTCAGATTAAATGAATGAATGAATGAATGAATGAATCTAAATATTTCTCCCTCTTTTTAAATGTATGCTCAATTTTATGCATATATTGCGTTAGTGGTTAATAAAATGTTTGTGTTTAGTAACCATAAAATTCTGTTTATGGTTGTAAAAGTATCCACAAGTGAAGAAGATATGTTTGGTAACAAAGCAAAACTAAACTTTTCCATTTTAGATCCTAATACTTCTACACAGTGGTAAAGTGACATCTTAGCTAGTAAGAAAAAATTTACAATAAATCATCAGAAAAGAAAATAAACTATGAAGAAACTGGAATTTGAATAAGCACCAAAGGCCAATAGCTGTTTAGATCTGAGGTGACCATATCCCCCATCTGCTCTGGACTATCTTGGTTTATGCCTACTGCCCTGGTATAATTATTAAGTGTGCCCTCTTTCACTCTAAAAAATGGAGTAGTTTGGACAAGAAGCAGTCCATCACCCTATGTGGAGATAAAAAGATTCTGATAGAGGGGGCAGTTAGACAGGCATGCATGAGCAGAGCAGGAACGATAGGCCGGATATGGAATTTCACCAGGGAGGAAAAGTCCTAGGTGCCTAGCAAAAAGCAAAACTACAGAAAACAACTATTACAGGCTAGGACCTCACCCTCAAGGTAACCTATCCTCCCCTAGCACATCGCTAGTTATGCAGTTTAGACCTCCTTAGAGGAAGAACAAGGGACGAGAAAATAGCCTCATATAACTCCCATACAAGTCCTTGCATGAACACTCCCTTAAGCATTAAGCCCTCAGGACAATGAGGTTCTAATTAATATCAAATAATCTTAGAAACAAAACCTTGGGTCTACTGACGAAAGAGACAGAGTTTTGGTCAAGCTAGAGATAACATCTAGGCCTCACTGTGTTTTAACTCCACGCCTAGAAGAACAGCAAAACCAGACAAAACAATGCCATGGCTGACATCAGGACTAGATGCAATCACTAATGACCCCCTACCTTAGTGCCCACCAATCAGTAGAGACCATGACCCTGAAAGGACACACCTGGAAAGCTGATATTCTATTGAGATCCTCCTGACACCTCCTCTAAAATCCCCACCTTTGGAAAACAGATAAAAATGCTTAAGATGAAAGGCACACTCTTTCTTTCTCTTTCTCTTCTCTCTCTCGCATGTGCACGGGTGCGTGCACACACACACACACACACACACACACACCCCTTCTTTCTCAGGTGTGAACCTTAGCTTTCTTTCTACTAAGAGCCAGGGCTCCTCTTTTGCCTCTGTAACTTGTTTCCTGAGTCCACGCAGCCCAACTGGCTCACTTCTTCAACCTCTGTGACTTTCTAAATAAACATTTCTCTTGCAAATAGTTCTTTGCTCTGAATTCCTTCTTCATTGAACTCAAGAACCAAGGTCTAACTCTAATATTTGCCATTAACAATTCCACAAGGAAAACTTTAAGGCTTTCAAAAATACTGGTATTATAGAGGTACTTGTACCATCTGCTCTTGAACTCACCAATTTTGAAAGAGTTAAACATTTTCACAGCTGCAAAGTAATAAGGCCTGATCAACACTGAATATTTATGAAATAAATACAAACTCTGCCTTGCAACCTATATCTGGGACTTTCCCTTTCCACCTCTACCCCCAAACTAGGAGAATAGCACAGTGATTCAGCATTTCTCAGGCATTCATTAAAATGTGCTTGAGTGCAATGGAATCAGGGGAAGAAAAAAGGTACATATTACACAGATATTAAAATCAAAACTTATAGAAGCAAAAATTATGAAATTCTATACTTTCTCTCTTACTTAAGTATTTGTAAAGCAGCTGAACTAACAAGTATATTTCATCACTATTATTAGGCAAGTCATCCTAAGATACAAGCAGAAAACATTGGCAACTCTTTTTGTCAACTAGTTCAAGAGATGCTTAAAAACAGAAGTAAAAGTAAAATCCCAGAACACAAAGGGAAATTTCAGGGGATGCACCATTTAAGAAGAATACTGTTTATACCTGTATGGGAGCATTTTTTAGAATCTCACTTATCTCATTTCTGTGTCTCCTGGAAAACAGACCAGGTCTTGTTCCTCCTGTATCCTTTAACTCTTCTCTCTGAATCTGTTTCATACTACTTTGCATATAGAAATTAGTAACAAATGCTTATTGAATTAAACTAATAAGAAAAGAAAAGCACTTTCAAATATAACTTCTTTGTAAACATTTTTTGAAGATAAAAGAATCTCAACTATCCTGGGGAATGAAAGTGGAGAGGTAGAATCATTCCAATAGCAACTATGAGTTCCGCAGTAAGAAATCTATTCCTCTACGTGAGTGGTGGGTGAAGTTTTAACCTATTATCAAAGAAATTCAGAAACACTGTAGTCAAACCTGTCTCACCAACAAAGCAACCACATAAGGTTAGACTATAAGACAGGCATTAGTCATAGCCTCCAACACCTGAGTTAGAAAGAAATTCCATTGAAATTTCTCTTGTCTCAGCTCAGGAGGGCTTGAGCATTCTTTAAAACAGACTTTGAGGCAGTTTTTATTTTTTCCTCCAGTACCTTATGCAAAGGCACTGGAGTTTGAGAACTTGCCACTGAACCATAGGTCTCATGAATCAGGAAAGCCATAAAAAGGGCCTCAAAGCATTCACCAAGAGGGCCTTGGACTCTTCCTCTTTAAAGTCACCACCCACTCCTCCTATCAACAAGACAAATGGGTAGACATGATCCAGGAGTCAACCCATTAAGTTACATAGGAGTAAATGGGAAAAGGGCTGCAAGGTCAGAGACCCATTAATCTCAGCCAAGGTGTGTAGCAGCCACTTCACAATACTGTGAAACCAAATTAACGTCTCCAATAATAATCAGTACAAAGGAAGCATTTCCTCAGAAACCTGACTTGTAAAAATTAAATATTCAGACCTTTTGAATTTTATATTAGCTGTTTTACAATCTTGGGAAGTTCCCTAAAAGTCTTAAATTTCTAACTCCCCATTTGTAAAATAGGGATAGTTACCACTTACCTATATATTAGAAAACTAATAAAAACAATAATGTGAACCACAGATACTTTTCTAAAGTTCTAGGTGTTTAGTCAGTTACTGTTCTTCTCAACTAAACAGGAATAGTCTAAAGTAAAATATTTCCTATACAGTCTCAATTTTCTGTTCCTGGTAAAGAACAGAGGCACTGATAACCCACTGTGTTAATATGTCCAAAATATTATTAACTCAAATAAAGAATAGTAAGCAGGAAAAAAAGATCCCTTAAACTCTTTGGATATTATGCACCTTCACCCTCTGCATCTTCAGTGCCACTTTCTGAACCAACCTGAAAGTAAAGTGACCACTTACAATGAATGCAGATAAGGTCTGAAGGATTATGCTGACCCAAACTGGTCTCTATATTGTATAAATGGTTTGTTTATATCACCATAGTCTTTTAAAATGTCAAACTGTTTACCTTCTGAAAATATAACAGAAAGTATTTTTTCTTATTGATCAATTAGAGAGAGACATTGCTTAAATTTAAATATTCAATTTCTAAGTGAAAGACTGATGAGGAATCTGCAGCCAAACAGCCTCATTTAGCAATCTTGTGTCCAGAATGAAAAATAATTTTCATCATGGGAGGGAGAATACTGCACCCTTACATAAAGCCTCACAGATGTAAGTCAGGACCGTAAACACAGTCACTTGACTCTTGTTCAGTGTCCAATGCACCTGAAAGATACAGGGACCACATGTCAGCTGTTCAACTTATGAGGCCATGAGAAAATTCCAATTCCAGTTTAAGAGTCAGAGAAGAGAAATAGCAATCCTATTCCTGTAGATCCCAGGTTAATTCCCTCCAGTTTCTCCCCTATCATGGTATTAATTGATTTGCTAATAAAATGCTTCAGTAAAATTTGTGGAATCAGATTCTGGCAGAAAGTCAAATCAAAAGTAACTCTTTGTGGCAGCTACTTTTTTGTATACCCAGCCCCCTGCCTACCTTGTTATGTTTTTGCTGGTGCCTTGCCTTTGTGTCAAGAACATGGTAAGGGCTTTCGGAGTCTTGGTTGATGTAATATACCAGTCTTGAAGGCAGTGTGATTTCTTTCTGCATAGCATTGCTGTAACTGGTATTACTGCTGCTATTCTGTTGCAATGTGTTGTCTTCATTTGCCAGGACTCCCAATTTTTTTCCTGCAGTTTCATTCCAGTGTGGAGCTGGTTGAGGGGTAGGGGGCAGGGGGCACAAACATATACAAACACACACATATATACCGTATAAATACATAAATACCAAAATGCACTTTTCCATTAATAGTAAAAACAGTTTCCTATTTATAAACAGGTAAGAAGTGGACACACAGGAAAGCAAGTTATTGCAACAATGAAATGGCCTGGATAAATTAACAGCCAATAAGGCCTACACGATAATGTACTGTTTATTTTGATTTATGTTTTGTATGTACATTTCTAACCAGTCTCAAATCTATACTTCTAAGTATGGGGTGGGGAGCAGAATGGACTTGAAGGAAGAGTCATTAAATGAACCTGTTCAGGGGCTGTGACCCTCATCTGAGTCTACGGAAGCTCAAAGGAACTCTGACTAGGAGTATCCCATCTGAGAGCTAAGAACACTCCTAAGATAACTTGAGTGCTGAATTCCTATTAACTGATTCATTTAACAAAATGGACAATTCCCTTTTCTTCTAACTTTGAGACGAGCAAAACTCCTTTGCCATAGAGGGATGCAGACACTGGCCGCTTTCCAATTCCTTTTTATGTTCCTGCAAAGGCCAGCTTTCTGCTTTCACTGATTTCCAATTGTATTGGACATTATAGTATCTGAATTGTTCGTTATAATGACAAGCATTTTGAGAAATTACAAACCAAAGGTTTATATCCCCCGAAGTTTCTCTTCCCCACTTTTAGTCCACCAGCAGGGAATAAACCCAGAAGGTAATTTGAGGAAACAACACATTATCACTATTATCATTACATCCTTCCGCATTCGCATCCAGGCTCCACCACCCAAGAAGCAACTTGCTCCCTCGCTGCGTTTCCATCCACCTGGCTCCCCTCAGCCAAGTTGCACAGAGGAACGCAGCATCCACTAAATGCCTTCCAGCGGGACCCACGGTCATTAGAAGGGGTTTTTAGTGAATGCAACGGAAACGAACTTCAAAAAGTGAAGTGGAATAAACAGGGGTTTGGGAACGAGGAAGGTAGAGAGGCAGGCAGGGAGGAGCGGAAAGGCCGAGCCTGGGACGTGTCCGGGGCGCACGGACCCGCGTGCCCTTCGTTTTCCTTTGCAGGGCCCCGCAGGCAAGGCAATGCAAAGGGCACCGGGGCCATACCCACCGCTGGGTGCAGCAGCCCCCCAGGCGCGGGGCCAGGACGAGGCGGCGAGAGGAGGCAGCAGGAGCAGGACGAGCAGCAGG